CTCTGGGGATCTTTTCTCCCTTTTTTCCTCAAATCCCCTTTTATCTCCATCAATCAGACTGCAACCCAAAAAGCCTTCCTGAAGAAAGGATGGGTGGGTGGATGGGTGGGTGGAGGAGGGCATAGTAAACTAAAAGGCCTGAATCCTTCTTCTGAAGCAATAACAGGGATTTCCCTGGTCAAAGATTTTGATCAACTCTTTCTGTGGCTATCAGTGAAAGTGTCCTGTCCACCCTCTGAACTTTCTGAAGAAACACAGCTTGAAACAACATTTTGCAGCATGAATCATTCCCTGTGCAGGACTATGGATAATTTCTCCTTGGACCTTGCCCCCTCCCAGCCCAAATGTTTCTTTCTTCCCCACAATCAGTGGCCGCGGACTGTGTCAAAATATTTTGTTCATTTGAGAATTTCTCTATATCTTAGAAGCTGTTTCTTTTCTTTTTTTAAAAAAGGTGCCTCCACCATACTTTTGCGATCCTTCCAATTCCATCAGCCCCTGCAATTCCTCCTTCTTTTGGGGCCAGTTTGGGCTGAATAGAATTCTGTGAGAGTTTGTTTTGACATCGTTAGATCTTTCTGTTCCCACAACAAGAGACTGTGGCTCCCACCCAAAAGCTGTTGCACAATTTAGGTGGGAGAAAAGTGAGCGTTGATTTCACTATAAATAGGGCTCACATTTGCTACACAGCAGTTGCCGGGGTTCTTTCATAATGACTTCTTAGCTTTTCTGTGATAAATTCCTTATCAGAAGTTCCTGGATTCTTCTGTGCTCATTTAATTGGCTTCAGCCTAGCCTGGCTGGGAGAAGCTCGACAGATTGACTCTCATAGCCCAGATGTCAGATGTAGAAGGAATGCTATTAAGAAACTCAGATAACAGTTCTGAATGACTACATTTGGAAAGGTTAACATTCACACACACAATTTCATCCAAATCTCATTGCTATAAGAATGTCCTCCTCAATTATAAACAAACATCTCTGGATCCTGTTACATTGTCAAGGTTTGATAAGTGCGTCCTAGTGTTAAGTTTCATGGACCACAAACGTGCTATAAAAACTATCGTGCCTCATGCAAATTTGATTTAAATTCAACTGCATACTTGGACCCCATTTTGAGCAGAAAAATTCAGCTTTCTCCATGAAATAACAATGTCCCCTATATATTGCTTTCCTGACCCCTTAAGCTTGGGTCTGACGCCTTATGGCCCAATTACAGCCTGTTGACTGCGGGGGCAGGCTGGAACAACATAGAAGCAAGCCATCATCACACCCCAAACCTGGTCAGTTGTGTGACAAAACTACACAATGTGTAGGAAATTTATGGAATCTACAACTGAAAGATATTGTGATAACCTGCAATGGGGGGGGGGTTGGGGATGAGATGGATGCTATTAGTGGTGACTGCTGTTGTCCTCAGCTGCCACTACATGTATAATAATAATAGTTATTATTCGACTTTTATTGAATTTTAATTCTGTGTTAGCCTCCCAGAGTCACTGTTGTGAAATGGGCAAATATGTAAATTGACCAAAATAAATAAATAATAAATACATAATGGAGGTGTTCAAGAATAAAGCTACATTTTCAGAGTAACAATCCCTGGGGGAAGGGGTCCACAGCCCTCATATCTGCTCCCAGGGATCTGGTTGGTCCCTGTGGCAAAGAGGATGGTGAGCCAGCAAGAGAGTTCCCTGATGTCCTTACTGCTACATGTTCAAAGGTGATTCAAAAAGACCTGTCCCCAAGTTGGTTTCTTCCTTCCCTTCCAAGGAAAACCTTGTCCTGGGCCCTTCTCTTGCACCACCACCAATTGGGCCCCCAAATGGATTGGCATGGGGTACCTGCAGTGCACAACAATGGGCCCAGCATCAGGCGGGTTGCACGTTTTCACTCTCCTCAGAAAAGCCAGAAATGGGGTGGGATATTCAGGAACTCCATGATCTGGCCAGGCTGTGAACTGGAACTGGCGCACTTCACGCTTCTCACTGGAACCATTCTGTGGAGGAAGAGCAGAATCCCAGAAGGAGCCCATGATGGAAGACGACATGATGCGTCTGCCTTGCGCAACATGTTATGAGCGAATGAAAGCACAGGCTGAATTGGTTGGTTCCATATCACATATCTCAATGCCAGGGACTGCATTCGCACAAGGTGTCAACCTTGCTTGTTCTAACCTTGGTCAAGTTTGCGCGCCTTAGTGTACTGTGAGAACCCAGCCCAGTTGAGTCTGGTAATTTAATACACACTGCAAACTCAGGAAACGGGTTAATTCAGGAAACACAGTAAAGGAGTTATGTCATACAGCCCCTTATTTTAGTGGCATTTGCTTCCAGTGTGGATGGAGCAGTCCAGAAGACAGGACAAGAAACAGTGGGTTTAAACTAGATGAAAGAAGCAGATCTGGGTTCGACCTCAGAATCACCTAATGAGAAGAGCTGTTCATCAATGGAACAGACGGCCTGAGGAGGTGGTGGATCCTTCTCTGCTGATGGGATGCTGTAGTGGTGGATTCCTGCACTGAGCAAGGAGTTGGACTGGATGGTCTCTGAGGTCATTTTCAATCCTTCCATTCTATGATCCTGTGATCAAGGAGGTCCTTCCAACAGTAACAGCTGGAACAGATGCCTTGGGAGGTGGTATCCCCTCTCCTCTACTTGGAGGTGTTTCAGCAAAGGCCAGATGGCCATCTGGATGCTGTCCATTGGTGGACAGCTTTTACCGTTAGGACATTCTTCTGAGGTCTACTTCCTTGTATTTTAAATGCCTTGCTTCTTGTTCTGTCTGCCCAGCTCTGAAGAATTCTGCCCCTTCTTCTGCCCTTCAGATCCTTAAAGATAGCCATCGTGACTTCTCACAGCCTTCTCTTCTCCATACTAAACATACCTAAAGAAGGAAGAAGCTCTGTTCTCACCTTGTGGAGAGAGAAGGTCCGGACACAGAATGTGGCCAACTCAATGGTATCTAACAAGGTAACTTGGATCATCCCATAGGTCTCCGTGCCCCGGCCTGGCCAGTACTGGTCACACTTGATCTGAAAAATCAACATAGTGGCTGTATTATATAATTAGCTCCATGCTACACACATGAAACCACAGCATGAAAAAAAAAATCCGGATAAGCTGAACTTGCTCATACTTGACCCACAAAATCAGAGATCCCAAACTGACTGTGAGCTGTTTGTCTTTTTACAAGAAATTCAAATTTGGCACTGTGAAATCTTGGAGTCTGCACTGAAAGAAACTGAGCTCAGGGTCATCTTCACTCCTGGCTGAGAGTTCAGTACGCGGTGTCCTTGGGCTTTTCAAGCCCCCTTTCTAGGGAGCTGAATTTTGAATCCCACATCAATTCTGAAAGTTTCTCCCGATTTTTTATTACAAAACTATAGCTACCTTCAGTTCCATTGGAGATATATTAATGGATTAGTCCCATTTTAGAAAGTCAACAAATCACAAGGATTTTAGATCAGTATGGACACACCAAAACATTAACATTGTGCAATAGGGTGGGGAAATATATATTGAGAAAAAGTTGGATGGAATTTTTTTTAAGCACTTGCATGAAAAAAATAACATAAATTCCCTCATGTTCATTCATTGGGTCAACTTATTTATTACTTTAATTATTTTACTAGGCTTCAAGGCAGCTCCAATCACAAACAACTCTGAGCAGTGTACATCTCACCTCTGTAAGGTAGATTAAAACAATTTAATAAATATAAAACATATCAATAATATCATGATCAACATATATATATATAGCACTAGAAGTAATCAATTAATCAATTCAACTCCAAACCAGAAGAAGCTTTTCACATGCAGAAGGAATAAGGTGGCAGCATTCCTGCCCCCAAGTCAGGGTGGGGTGGTGGTGGTAAAAAAAAAGTAAAGATGGTAGCACAACTGCAGGATCAAAGCTGTGCCCCCTTTTACATGCACTGCACATGTGACACACGTAGAAAAGCCCAGGCCTTTGGTCGCGTTTTAATGGCCTTCCCCAAAACTGGAAGGGAACATTTGGAAATGTATTTTTAATTTTTCACGATTGGCCAGATCCACCTTTCTCACACTGAGTTAGGCAGGAACACGATCCAATTGACCGCACTTTTTCTCACCCTGGATTTCTCTTCCAGCTTTGTCATCATCACCACCGTGGCGGAACGCTGCTCCCAAACCATCCGCCAGAAGTCACCAAAGGTCTCTGGCAAAGGGCCCTGGGTGGCGATGTAGGCGTTCTGCTTGCGGTACCCGTCGATGTAGTTGGCATTAATGTAGTCGCTCCCTAGGAGGCCTGCATTTGGAGTGGCCAAAAGAAGAACTGTGTTGGAATCAATGTCTTTTGCTAGTTCCCAGCCTTTTGAGAGCCGCACTCTTAATCCCACCCTCCCCAAAACAGCAGCTGCGGAGAGGTAGGGAGTCAGTCCTGAAGTAAATGCTCCCGGGTTTTAAATGTTCAGTGAGCCCCAGCCACACCTTCAGATGGTCAACCAAAGAATTACAATTCTCTGCACAAGCCTTTCCTTGTGGTGGGGAAGAATGCAGAAATTGCAGTCTCTCTGCAAAGGGGGGGGGGGGGAGCAGGTGAGAAACAGAACCCTGATTTGGATTGGCCAGAAGGTAGTTTAAACCTGGCTATATAAGATTTATTTACTACATTTCATATTGATTTACTACCTTTTGTACAGGAACTCAAGGTGACTTATACAGTGCACTCTCCTTTTTTTTTTTCTCCCCAACAACAAGCCTATGAGGTATGCTGGCTGAGAAAGCGGGACTAGCCCAAATTCATCCAGGGAACTTCTGTGGATGAGGGTGGACTCAAACCAGATCTCCCCAGTCCAAATGCAACCACAGTCTTGGGAGGTAGGCTGGACAGAGAACGACTGGTCTGAAGTCATCCCCTGAGCTTCTGAAGCTGAGGATGGAATCAAACCGGGGTCTCTGAGGTAACCCAAGCTAGCCTCACCACTGCACCACCCCACCCCACTCTCTGTTCTCTATTAATTTTTTTTAATCTGTTCAATCGTGTCC